TTTTGATGGAGTAACGCAATATTGTAATGCATTACTTTTAAAAGTAACTTTCCCCAACACTGTTCATACTTTGAAGATACTTCATCAATAATCCAATCAAAAGTTGCAGTCAGACAAATGTAGCACGTTCTCAGAGGGCAGGGGGTGTAAATATGTTTGAAAGAGTCTGAACTACAGGAGCAGGAGGGTGCAGATCTTACTTCCCATTTTCCAGCGGTTGTTTGCTCTTACCCTCAGGCTCTGCACCCAGAGTGAATGGTGCCTTGATGTTCTGCCTGTCCCTCTCCGCCTCCTCCTCTTCGTCATAGGTGTCGTCATCTTCCTCATCGCTGTGGTGAGGGGTGGAGTGGAGGGAAGCCGATGGGGATGGAGGAACAGAAGAGGGTCGGGGGTAACGGAAGCCTTGCGTCTGTGGAAACATAAAGATTCAGTCACTCTATTTAGATTTAGTCACTAATTCAAAATGAGTCAATTACATTAGAGACTTGTTTATTCATTTATGTCATAAAATGCCAGATTTATCTGTGTGTGTGTGTATGTGGTTTTAGTAAAGTATATGTGTAGATCAGCTGTGAGTGAGTCTATGGGGATCACCACAGTTCGAATGGAAATCAAGTCATCTTCCTGTGCAGGTAAATGTTATCCTGTCAATTAAACTCAAGAACGTAGCTCAGTCATTCCTCATCACTCTGGAGTGTTAGACGTCACACATACATTCAGTAACACTCGGATTAGGAAAGAGATGAGGTGGAACAAAGTGGATATAAAGTATTTGCTCCACATCAGCACGAACTTGAAAATGATTTTATTTATGTTTGATGTATATAAATTATGTCATATAAACCTGTCTTTCAGGACAAGGTGTATTTGAATGATTTCTTTACATTTATTTCTTATGTAATTTCTCATGTTTTCTGCTGTGTATAACAACAACAACAAGAACGTTACAAAAGCCTCAGGGAGATTCTTTTTGTTACTTTGCACTGCTTATAACCTTAGGAAATAAAAAAGCTAATGAAAAAAAAAATCTAATCCCCAATAGTTAAAGTATACAACATATGAGCCCTTGACATGCATGCAAGAAACGTACAATGTGAAAAAAAAGAAAGAAAAAAAAAATATATATAATTTTTTCATGCAAATATCATATTAGGGGCTCTGTATGGGGTACCTAAAAATGCTTTAAAAATATAAAAATGTTTAGAAAATATAACGTTTTTTTTAATATTATATAGAAAAACTTTATTTTACATCATTATAATATTTCACAATATTACATTTTTTCCTGTATTTTTTATCAAATAAATGCAGCCTTGATGAGCATAAGAGACAATATAAAAAACATTAAAAATTGTTCTGATCGCAAACGTTTGACTGGTAGTGTATACACACACACACACACACATATATATATATATATAATTTTGAATTTTATTAATTATATATTAATGTCCTTGCCCTAGGGTCATACATTGAAACTAAGCACATAGCTTACATGGAGTGCAGCAATCCATTGTATTCTCATTGTCAGTGATAGAGGGACATGACAAGCCATTAACATGCATCGAGAGAGTGTGAGTGTTAGCAGGGCTCACCGGTGCAATGTTAAGATGGTCCATTTTGAATTCACTAGGGAAGGATCTGCTGAGGGCCAGATGCCGGGCGTACATGTAGAACTAAGCAGAGAGAAACCCAGGTCAACACCATATTAACCAATAGAACAAAAGTGAAACACACCTGAATGCTCAGAGAAAAGCTGAGATGATACCCACCCGTCCAAGGTATCTCCAGTCCAGCAGGTCAGAGAGTCTCTCTGTGCGGTTGCGTTGGATTATTCGCTGTCTACGTGACTGCTGGCAGAACGAAAACATGAACTGAGTCAGCTGATTACACGACTCGTCTGCAGAACGGAACCGCCGGTCCACAATGTAGATTCCTACAGCACATATGGAGAAACAACAGCATAATTAGCTGTACCAGATTCAATGTGTTATATCAAATATGAAGTGTCATTTAAAAAAATTGATAATGCAAATAAATAAATGATTAAGCTGTGCAGAGAGTTTTGGAAAGCAGTGACTTATTCACTCACCATATTCAGAAGGGTCAGATACATGTTCCTCCATGAAACAGCCAAACCCAGACAGATTGGTGGTTACGCTGGGGATGCCCATGACGGTACACTCACCTGAACACATCACATTACAGAAAATATCATTAAGAGTCATATAATGCATGATGCAAAAAATATATGATATCATTATATGAGATCAGAGATCCCATGTATAAAAAAAATCTGCATTTTAAATAACATTTATATGTGACCCTGGACCACAAAACCAGTCATACGGGTCAATTTTTAGAAATTAAGATTTATACATCATCTGAAAGCTGAATAAAAAAGCTTTCCATTGATGTATGGTTTGGTTTGTTAGGATAGGACAATATTTGGCTGAGATACAACTATTTGAAAATCTGGAATCTGAGGGTGCAAAAAATCAAAATATTGAGAAAATCGCCTTTAAAGTTGTTTAAATTAAGTTCTTAGCAATGCATATTACTAATCAAAAATTAAGTTTTAATATATTTACAGTAGGATATTTACAAAATATCTTCATGGAACATGATCTTTACTTAATATCCTAATGATTTTTGGCATAAAAGAAAAATCTATAATTTTGACCCATACAATGTATTTTTGGCTATTGCTACAAATATACCCAAGCGACTTAAGACTGGTTTTGTGGTCCAGTGTCACATATATAAAATACAAATACAATATATACACAAATGAACAAAATATTATTAAGCTAAGTGGTAATTTTATTTTATTTTTCCCCTAAAACTTTGAAAATGGACCCATATTAATAAACAATCAATCAAATCAAGCTCAAATTTGGATTGAAATGTAAGATGTTGGATATAAGAGTGTGAAAGGTAATAAAATGGAAATGTGTGTGTGTGTGTGTGTGTGTGAAACCTGGAGTGTAGCCCCATGGTTCATAGTAGGATGGAAACACTCCCAGATGGCAGCCGCGCACAAACTCCTCATAGTCCAT